TCGGAAAAAATCTGATTGTTAAAAGGCCAGATGCCACAAGATACGAATGATTTCTTGGCTCTGTCAATTGAACCAACCTTAAGGTATGCAGTGCCAAAAGTATTTTTCTTAGAGTCGATTCTGGGACATTCAAAGACTCTGCAACTGATCTTTGACTTTGCCCACGGCGTATTCTTTCCTTTGCATCTTTTAAAATTTCTTCAGTAAATACCAATTTTCTATTTGATTTTCTTTTATAACTTGACATATTTGCGATCTATAAAAAAACAAAAGATAAATAATTAAAAAAGCTACTTTGTTCCCCATGAGTTACTACCTAAGAGTGCGCATGCGCACTCTTTAGGTGCGCACTCTTAAGATTCACGCTAATTCGATTGGTTATGACAGTTTTTTTTTTTTTTTTTTTTTTTTTTATAGGATAGGGGGCAAACGAGCATGCGGCTCACCTGATGGTAAGTGACTACCGCCGCCCATGAACAACCGCAACACCAGGGGAATTGCAGATGCGTTGCCGGCCTTTTAAAAAGGAGTAGGCTCTTTTCTTGAAGGTCCCTAAGTCGTATCGGTCCGGAAAAATCCCTGGTGGTAAACTATTCCACAAGGAAGTTGTGCGAGGAAGAAAACATCTTCTAAATCGCACAGTGGTGGACCGCCAATCATCCAGATGGTGTGGATGGTATCGGGAGTTCTGCCGCGATGTGCGTTCGTGAAATTTGGCGGCTGGGATTAATCCGAACAATTCCTCAGAGCACTCCCCATGGTAGATGCGAAAGAAAATGCAAAGAGATGCAACATCTCTTCGCAGTGCCAATGAATCGAGCCGATCGGAAAGGGCTCGGTCGTCGACGATTCGAGCCGCTCTGCGCTGGATGCGGTCAAGTGGAAGGAGCTGGCACTGGGGAGCCCCTGCCCAGAGATGGGAACAGTATTCCATGTGAGGCCGAACCTGCGCCTTGTAAAGTTGCAGGCGGTGTGCCGGCATGAAATACTGTCCCGCTCTGCTGAGCACGCCAAGCTTTTTAGAGGCCAATTTGGCCTTCTCTTCCAAGTGACCACGAAACTGCACGTCACTCGATATGTCGACTCCGAGGATACCGATACTGGCTGAGGCAAGAAGGGGAGTGCCTTGAAACTGAGGAGATACGACAAAGGGGTTCTTTTTAGCGGTAAACGCGCAAACTTGTGTCTTCTGAGGATTAAACTGGACTAGATTTAGTCGCCCCCAATCCGAGACTTTGTCCAGCAAAGACTCGACTTCAGACACAAGTTTGTTCCGGTACTCGGCGACGTTTTCCCGAGAAATATTGGCCCGGCCGGTGTATAGAGCATCACCAGTGCTGTCATCCGCATAGCAATGAATGTTACTAGTTAGCAACATATCATTGATATGCAGAAGAAACAGCGTTGGTGATAGCACACAGCCTTGTGGAACACCAGCGTTAATAGGCTTGTAGTCAGAACATGCACAAATATATATACAATCATTCCAACAAGATCGCATTTATAACCTTACTTAATAGCAAAATATAATAACCAAATTTCAAGAATAACTCACATATTCAGGTGGCACCCTTATGCAAATCTTGTAATACGTCTTCGAAATTGTTGATAAATAAGATTAAAAGTACTCAAAACCTTTAAATTGCAATAATCAAACTAATAAATACCGCACCAACTTGAAAGCGTGTCTACTGATTCCAAGCGTCACTGTCAACTGACAGTTAGCGCAGTGCTGCCATGTGTTGAAATTTCGTACCATTTAAAAGCTGTGCGTACTCTTTGGTAGTGCGTACTCTTTGGTGTCTTTACTATATATAAAAATCAATTGCTGTCCGTTAGTCTCGCTAAGCGTGTGTTTGAGCACAGAATAAATAATAGTACAACGGTTTGAATGGGTACCTGGATAATCTAAATGATCCACAATTGGACCCGGTAGATGGCGCTGTTGTCGAGATCCAGAAATTACCCGTGTGATGCCGGGGCGGATCGCTAGTTACTTTATAAACAGACAAAGATTCGACGTGTGGTGGCGGCTGCTGATTGTAGCACAGAATTCATCAAGATAATCAGTATTCTTTAAATAATACTTTAAACATATTTTGAAAAAGAAAGTATGTCCCCTTGTTAACAAAAAAGTCGTTCAGGAAAAAAGGAGAAATCATCAACTTAGAAGAAAAGACTTGTAGAATGAGGCAAAATAATTAAGATTGAAAAATCTAGTACAATTAGTTTTTACAAATAATTCAATATTAGGTATGTGAAAAAGAGGATGCAATTTTTCGTTGAGACCGAGTCTGGTCACCAGGACAGTACACTACACTAGTAATCGATGAACCTTAGGAGGGACTACAATTCTGCAAAGTCCCAACCCGAAGCCCGAATTCCCAGTCCCAGGTCGTGCCCTTTCCTTATACTTTGGTAGTAATGTAGAATATTATACATAAGTTATGTATAATATTCTACATTATATATCATATGTAATGTAGAATATTATACATATACATAACTATCAAGAGTGAGGATGATTGTAGCCACCTTCAGCAAGATATCAACCAAGTAGTAGAATGGAGTCACAAAAATAAGCTGCAGTTTAATATTTCAAAATGCTCTATTCTATCATTTAGTCGATCAAGGGCACCACTCCATTACAACTATAAGGTGGATGGCGAGCTAATGAAGAGGGAGGAATCAGTCCGGGATCTTGGGGTACAGATGGATGTCAAATTGACATTCCGGGAGCACATCTTGAACATATGTAAGAAATCTTATAAACGATTAGGATTTATCCTTCGCAGAGCAGTAAATTTTACCAACATAAAAGCCATCTCAGTGCTGTATGATGCTCTAGTAAGGAGTCAACTGGAGTGTAACTCGGCAATATGGGCTCCACATGAAAATAAATACAGTCTTATGCTAGAACGCATTCAGAATAAATTCACGCGATTTGTATATCATAAGCTTTATGGGGTTTATCCCTTCTATCCCTTGATGTACCCAACCTTGTTTGTTTTGGGCATGGTTGGATACAACAACTTGGAAACTAGGAGGGATCTGGCGCTGGTAACCTACATTTTAAAGGTGTTCCGTGGTTACATTAGCAACCCGGGTGTGCTGCAGTGGATAGGCTTACGCGTGCCTGATAGATATGTACAGCGGCGACGGCGCCCGAGCTTGTTCGCGGTGCCGCGCGGAAGGACTAAACTGGTACGCAACACCCCCCTCACGCGAACGATACACATACTAAATTTGGTTGCTGAGAAGTTGGACTTATTTTCATGTTCAAGAAGTGAGTTTGCAAAAGTGACATTATTCATAATATGTTATTCTCAAATTGAATTATACAATTGATTGTAATGTGTTGTTATTTAAATTAATTATTGTGTGTTGTAATTACTAATATTATTATCTTTTACCATTTAAATTATTACTTTATGCTTTATGATGTATTCCAGTAACATATTTTAATTGTATTATTATTATTATTATTTTGAATTGAGATGCTACATTTATCGATTTAGGTTTTTCCCTGTAATGGTAGATGTTAGTAGGAAATATAAATAAATAAATAAATAAATAAATGAATAAATTTCATAAAATAATATTTTGTACTAATTATGCAGGTACAGTATGCATTTGATCGGTTATTTTCTTAAAACATTAAGCACACTAGGATTTTGTTCTGTATCGTTGAGAATTTTTTTCATAAATTGCACATCTTTATGTGGTAGAGCCATGCTGCAGCTATATTAGTAGTATACTCGTAGTTGTAGCACGAATGGGTCGGCTCGCCTGGGAAGGACCACGCTCTCACAGAATACCAGCGTAAAATAGCAGCTTCACACTGCTGTGTTTCGTATGGTGAGTGTAGAGAACCGGAGACCCTTTTTACTGGAAAAGAGGCATTCCATCTTAGTTCTCACGGGTGACAACGCATCTGCGTTTTGATACGCAAACGAGGATAAATGTGGACTGTGTGCTCGATTGTCACCCTATCCTAAAAAAAAAGAAAAAAAAACATGGGCCCGACCCATGCATCCCGACCCGGAACATTTAGTAATTTGTTATTCAGTGCCGTAGCAATCCGAATCTTTTATTAGCTTCTTTGTAATCAAGCTATTTTATAAAATATTATTAATTCTTTTGATATTTGATATTCAAATACTGAAAACAAGGCGTTTAGCTCTCTCATGTATATATACCAAACACCTTTGCTTTGATTTTTAATCGAGAATGCATTAATAAATTCTTACAGTACACTTTGTTGTGCGCATTTATTTTTTAGTACAATTTTAATCACTTTAATATTTGGTGCGACTGCGGTCGAAATCCAGATATTTAATAGTATTTTAGAATGATAAAGTAAAGAAGCGGTCTATTACACACTTTAAAAGCCAATAGAATTTTGTAATACAGCTTTCATCGCCTTCTAGACCTCTAAATAATCTGAAAATAATTCTTATTAAGAATCCATGACCTAATATTCTCACTAGTATTGTCACAGCTCAAAGCGTGCTGTTTAAATGTTTACAAACTCTAACTAATATTATCATTTACATTTTAAAATGTAAATGCTCCGATGAAGAAAAGTGAGCAATAATAGGAAGGGAATCATAATAGGAGCAAATAATGTATTTTCTAAAGATTGAAGTAAACAGTTTTTAATTTTTATATTTATAACAATATTTATTTATCTGCAAGAAACATTATTGAGTGCACCGGTGTGCACATTGTCTTTTATTTTTAACTTTGTAACTTAATTAGAGATACGATATCCCACGATATGTAACACATGGAATACATATTCTTATTAAGTGCTTAAGATACATGTGTTGTGTTTATGTTTATATTGAGATGTTGGCGAACTTATGATTGTAAAAATAAAGCCTTTACTACACGTATGCGCGCGTCTCGCTACGTCATTGGGTAGGAGGGCGGAGCCTCGGGCCGCCCTGCGTCGTGGCGGCAGTCCGTTTCCGGCCGGCGCGCGTCCCGCACGCTCCATGGTGGAACACGCACTCGTGGATTGCTCCCAGGCGAGCGCCATGCAAACCCTGCCGCCACAGCCACACCGCGAGGATGAAGATCAACTCGCCGATGAGTATGTTCAAAATTTTGAACTCGACCATCTTGAAGACCATCATGTGGTAAAACGAGAACCTTTACGCACTGGATGGAATGAACTCGTCGAAACACCACCTGCCTGCGCTCGCGCTTGTCGTCCTTGGCCCGATGCAGGGCCCTACCCGCAGCCGCACGTTGCTATTGCCGTTGATCCTAGCACACCTCCAGAAACACCACCAGCTCCCATCGGAAGGAGCCCCTGTCGCGCAGCTCTAGTTGACGACGTACTATGGCTGCCACATATGAGAGAACCACTGGATATGCGGACTGTTCCATGTGGAAGTTTTGAGGAATGGGACAGACGAGAGTGGAGAGAGCAGGATCACCACATCCAGCAAGTAGCCTTGCGACCGGCGAGCTCTTGCTCCGCAGTTTCCCCTCGTAATAGTCAGCACCAAGGTTATCAGCCTTCTTCATGTGGCGACGATCTCATAAGCGATGATCTACTTATGACTCTCAGTGTGCGTGAACTCAATAAACGACTACATGGATTTCCTCGAGAGGATGTGACGCGATTAAAACAAAAACGCCGTACGCTTAAAAACCGGGGTTACGCACAAAACTGTCGCAGCAAGAGACTTCAGCAGCGGCAGGAACTGGAGCTTACCAACAGATCGCTGCAAGACGAGCTGCACCTGTTACAGTTGCAAGTGGCACGTGTTACCCACGAACGCGATATGTTAAAGCAACGGCTGGCGCTGGTGGGACGTGAACATGCTGTTCCGCAACACGCACCGCCCACGCCGCACTCCTCACCTGAGTTCTTCTCGGAGCTGTGACGGCAGGGCGCGGCGCCGCGAGCCGGCGCCTCCGCCACTTCTTCCTGCGCCTGGCAACGCTATTGAACATCATCACGGCACGCCGCGCCATGCGACAGCACCACGGCATCGGACTGCTCGTGCTTTTGTTAAGTTTGAAATTTTATAATTATCATGAGTTCCAGTTTTATAGGTTTTAAATTAATGGTGGAACAATATAGCCGTGACTCCCGATAAGGGTGGTTACCGCAACACCCTGTTAAATGTATGGTTGTGTCGTATTATATGCATAGCTTCGTTAAAAACAATAAATGTATTATTAAAGTTACACATAAGCTATACTGATTATTCGTATAATTGTAAATAGTTAACATAAATGACGAATATTACGTATAGGATTTTTGTTTTACTAATAAAATATTCATATAAATAAGCATTTTTTATTTATCTGAAGATATTGGCAACGTGGAGATATCATATAGAAATTATTTGGGATAAAATATATTTTATCACCTTTATTTTCGCAACATTAAAAATATTAAAAAAATGTCGTCTCCAGAAGAAATAAATATGAAATAGGTACATTTGTTATAGATCTTATGGTTTAATGAACTTGTGGAATATTAGTTTGCACCTTCTACTTATACCTTAAACAAATAAAAAAAAATCTTCAGTTTTAAATTTTTCTTTCTACAGATATTTAATTCTGTTCAAACTTTATTGGATATAACTTTGTAGAATTTTTGTAACCCACGAGATATTTACAAAAAACAAAGAAATATTTTTTAAGTATCCCTTTTCAACTTAGTTTAATCGTGAAGGTATAGTTCAGAAGTAATTTTTAATATTACACCAGCGTGTAATAAATAGATACATTCACATTATACCTAAGGTGATTACAGGATTCAGACTTACACTGGGTAATTTACAATTAGTATATAACACCTGGATTTATTTAATCTTTGATCGTGTAAGTGGAAAATCGTTAAAATGAGTCCAATGACTTGTCAGATTGAGCAATATCACAAGTTTGCAACAACGTGTTTGTGATTGCTCAACAATTTCAGTGAAATGAGGTCGAAGGTAAAACCACTTAACAAAAGGGTGACTTGATACGTTTTAAAGTTTTTATTTGAGTCTTGTATGTCTGAATTTTGTTATAACTTGTGATAGCTAAAAAACTTCCTAATAGTGAAATAATGGTTCTTTAAAGATTTCATTCATTTCAAGGTTCCATTTTTATAGTAACCATTAATAAACATATTTTACAACTAATAAAAGGTTACCTTTAGGTATTTCTTTAATAACATGGTTTTAACTAACCAATATGTTAAGTAAATACAACACCTTTATTATAATTATTTAGTATACCTTTATTATACCTTTATCATAATTGTTTGAACTTTATGTTTAGTGTTCTGTGAAGTTTCATTTGCCCTGATATATTCCACTAGTTTATGTTGCATTAAACTAATAAAAAATGATTTCATGACTAAATATGGCGGGAAACAATAATGTACACAGCATGCGCAACACATAATTTTTAGTACAAACATTTTGTTACTATACTAAAAAAATATATGCACAAAATGCTTATTATCTATTTAATTTTAAAAGTTATGTCGTTTGTTGGCTGTCGCACATTTGCGGTCTTCACTGTCCTTATTTATTGCTTTTAAAATACATATACATCAACAACATATACAGCCTATAATAGTCCACTGCTGAAAATAGGCCTCGAAGGGATTTATTATTTTTAGTTGTTATATATATATGGAGTGGTTTCCCTGTGTTTCAGTTCTTCACTTTTAAATACATTTACGTAAAATACAGTTAAGCTAAAAAGAGACTAATGGTCTCTGTCTTTGTGCCTTTGTGTTCTCTTTCTATTAGCTAAAATTATTTAAATATGCGACAGTAGCCGAATGGTAGGGTGCGGACCACAAACTAACAGGTCGTGGGTTCAAATCCACCATTCGACCACTGTCGTGAACCACTAGCAACGCAAGCATTTTAAGCTTACCTGGAGTAGTAAATTAAAACATTGGTAATGTTAATAACATTGCTAGTATTAACATGAAAATATGTAAAGATATTGATTGCATAAGCATACTTGTAACAATATATTATAATATGGGTTGACGTGATAGGAAAAAATAAATACTTACAGATTAAGATTTACCACGTTATAACGTATACCTCCATAAAAGATGATCTAAAGATTTTTGTTGCTGAACAGTATTATTTAGAAAATTAATTGTGTTAGGAGAACGTAACAATATCTTCCTAAAATGCCAACTTTCCTGCATGTCCTGTAAATAACGAACGGGACTAGCTTAGGCTTAGGTCAGGCTGTCAAAGGTGATGCACCCATTCGAAAATGATGAATCTACATTTCACACGCTGGTGATAAGGATATAGCATTAATCGTATGAGTCTAAGTGATTTGCGGTTACCAAACCGTAAAAAAAGTACAGAATAGATAATAGAACAAGTAGTTAAAGGTAGTTAGTGCGATTGTAGTTATTAATAATTACATATCATAACAAAATGGGTGAGTGCAGTCAACACCCGTAACCCGTCAGTTCGATATTAGTAGGTACCTACGGGTCGATTTTATAATTCTTAGTAGTTCTATCGCAATATATTATGCATAAAATAGCACTGTGCACGTGTGTGTGCCCGTGTGTAAATGTGTGTCATAAGAGAGTAAACAGGAAACGTACATTGTTGCACCAAGTCCATACGTGCGACTTGCGGCGTAAGTAATAGTAATTTAACACCAAATTGTCATTAGAATTATTTAAAGCATCGTGTTACTCGATAGCGAGTTACAAACGATGAATTAATGTCGGAATACTTTGGATGATATTAAATAAGTAAATGGCATCACTGAAATATAATTTTTTTTTAGTGTAAAATTTATTAACTAAGGTAGTTGATATTATATTCAATGTATATAATATCAACTACTTTAGTTTAGAGAAATATCCAGCGTGGAAGAAAACCAAAACTTTGCTCATTTATAGTCTAATCACAAATATGGGACGTATAAAGGCGTAGGCGTAGGACGTATAATGTTACTTTACTCTTAGAACTTTGAAGGAAATATGCTTTTCTTTAAAATAACATTAGTTTGAAATCTTTCTATTTAGTAAAGCTTTTGCAATTTTTTATATTTTGCAATATGAAATCAACACGATCCTTTTCGTATGTAATAAGGTAATGAACCTATTTTATTAAAGACCATTTTTTTACGTGGTAGAGCCATGCTCCAGCTATATTACTAGTATAGTTGTAGCACGAATGGGTCGGCTCGACCGAGGAAGGACCACGCTCTCACAGAATATCAGGGCAAAATAGCAGCATAACGCTGCTGTTTCTTATGGTGAGTGTAGAGAACCGGAGACACTTTTTTACTGGAAACGAGGCATTCCATATCTGTCCTCACGGGTGACAACACATCTGCATTTTTATTCGTAATCGAGGATAGATGTAGATGTCTATGAGCCACAGCAGCTACTTATCATCAGGAGGACTGTGTGCTCGTTTGTCACCCTAATTCTAAATAAATAAATAAATAAATATGAATAAATGTTTTTTGGTCACATTTTGAACATTTTGCTTGTGTGCTTTATCATTAAGATATTTATGATGTAATTAGTATGCGCAAGGCACTTAGAGTTGACTAACGTAAAATAGTAAGATGAAAGGGAGTAATCTCTGATACATAATTTTTCAAATAAATCGCTACAGTCAATAATTGCATAAAAGTAAAGTAAAGTAAATAAAGTTGCAGCCTATTAACGTCCTACTGCTGGGCGCAGGCCTCCTCTCATTTCTGAGAGGGTTTTAGGGCAAGGAAATGTCCGCCGCGCTGCCCCAATGTGTGTTGGCGAACTTCACGTCTCTGAAATATTTTTTTCTTATTTCTCGGACATGCAGGTTTCCTCACGATGTTTTCCTTCACTGCCGATCATGTTGTGAATAAGCACGTAAATTGCAATTAACGATTTCATTGGTGCCGGCGGGGATCGAACCCGGGTTCCTCGCGTACTATGAAGCTTACAGTGAGCGCTAACTATCTGAGCTACCACGGCTTATATAATAATTGCATAGGCGTTTTTATTACATTACATCAGCAACGGCCATATTCTTCCTTGAAAGTAAAGCAGTAGGTGCAGTGTTAGGGTAATTTCATATTTGTCGGCATCGATTCACTTTTATGAAGTTTCGTAGGACACGCCATTTCCCTTTATCGCATCGATTCTGTGTTTGTATGTTTGGATTTAAAAGGTATACAAGTAGTGATTAAGCATTTTTAAGGACGTTAAGGAAAACACGGGAGCATAATGATCGGTTGCGAGAGTATAGGTATAGACATATGTGAATACCGCGTGGGTGTAGTGACAGTAAACTCAGATCCTGGGTTCGAATCCCCGCTCGAGCCGAAATCAGTTATTGGGTTTTTCAGTCACGAAATTCTGTAAATACATGATAATAACCTAATCTAATTTTACAATACGTATTGAATTAATTTACAGTTGTTACATACTGTAACAACACTGTCTCTGACAATGATACACATAGTGATCGGAACCGACCAACTTTGACAATGCGAACTGATACAAATAATTGTTATTTTACTCTTATGTAACGATACTTATACGGTTCACGACGTTATATACAAATGTTAAATTTTATTGTTGTTCAACACATGCAATTTACTCAACTAAAGCTATCACTACATTTGTAAAGCACTTGCTTATAAGTTATAAGGTGAGATAGGACATTAATATAAAAGGGAAATTTTAAGTGCCATATATAATTAATACGAGGCAGAGACATGCTGCAGCTATATTAGTAGTATAGTTGTAGCACGAATGGGTCGGCTCGACCGGGGAAGGACCACGCTCTCACAGAATACCAGCGAAAAATAGCAGCTTAACACTATTGTTCCGTATGGTGAGTGTAGAGAACAGGAGACCATTTTTACTGGAAAAGAGGCATTCTATCTTAGT